CTGCTGGTCGACGGCCAGCTCAGCCTCGCCGGCGGAGGGGGGCGTGGGCTGGGACAGCACTCGGAGGCAGTTCTTCATCTGCTCCACCTCCTCCCGCTGGCCCCGGCAGGCGGCCGACATGGCCTCCTGCAGCCACTGGCGCCTCTGGGGGACAAGGTGGGTGAATTCATCAATAAGCTCATTCATGAATATCGGTCATTGACAATGACTGCCAACATCAGAGCGCCGACAGTTCCTTCAATCAACACGATCTATGGAGCTTCATTTCTACTGACAGGCGTGTCTAGACACGAGATCTACAGAGAGACGGGCTGTGGGGTGGGGGGCAGAGGAGGCAGGGCTCCCCGGTGTCTGTCCTGACGCCCTAGAAGGAGATGGCAGGGCAGCAGGTGTAGGGCAGAAGATTAGAACTTGGTTTTTTGTTTGTTTGTTTACATATTTCTTTATTGATTCCAGAGAGCAGAAGGGAGAAGGAGAGAGCTAGAGAAACATCAATGATGCGAGAGAATCATGGATCGGTTGCCTCCTGCACGCCCCACACTGGGGATGGAGCCCGCAACCTGGACATGTGCCCTGACTGGGAATCAAACCATGACCTCCTGGTTCCTAGGTCGATGCACAACCACTGAGCCAGACCATCTGAGCTGTTTGTTTGCTTTTTGAGAGAGGGAGAGGGGGAGAGAAACAATGGCTTCTTGTTCCACCCATCCATGCATTCATTGGTTGATTCTTGTATGCACCCTGACCCGGGATTGAACCCGCAACCCTGGTGTATCAGGACGATGCTCTAACCCACTTAGCACCTGCCCAGGGCCTAGAGCCCGTTGTTAGCGTGTTATGTTTGCGGGATCTATTACACGCCGAGGTGAAGTGCTGAGTAGGCTGCCTGGAGTTCAGAGGGAAGGCCCAGGCGACACCTGGTTTCGCAGCCCCGGCCGTATTGACACCTTGAGCGGGACAGTCCCGTGGTGGGGGCCGTCCATGCACTGCCGGAGGTTGAGCAGCACCCCTGACTGCCACCCGCGAGACGCCACAGCACCGGTCCCCCGCTTGCAACAATCGAGAACGTCTCCACACATTGCCAGTGTTGCCTGGAGGATACAACCACCGCCAGGAGAGGGCCCCCGGCCGGCAGCTACACATTTGGGAGTCCTCAGAGGACAGCTCTACAGGACATGAGCTCACACGGGAAGTGAGTGCAAACAAGAGGAGAGGCCTGGCCCGGCCCGTGTGGCTCAGTTGGCTGAGCGCCGTCCCGAGCACCAAGAGATCGCAGGTTCGAGTCCAGGTCAGGGCACATGTCCAGGGTTTCGGATTTGACCCCCAGTAGGGGGC